TCACAGGTCTCAAATTCCGGGGGCACGGATAGCATGATTCAACCATAATATTCATATCCTTATCCTTACCGCAAAGTAGTAATAGGTTAAATTGCTCATAAGCTAAGGCGATCGACGAAGATCTTCTACCTTTTAAAGCCATGACAGAATTGCTACAGCGTAGCCACCTCCGAATGTATCTTGAAGCCGAGAGCCTGCACAACTTATGGAACGCGGTGAAGCTTGCCGCGAAGCGTGCCGGGCTGCAAGGGTCCCTACTCCTAGGGAGTCTTTTGTGCAACGTGGCACACGGACCATATGCATCAGGTGCAAATTTGCTTTCCCGACAGAGGGCTGCGCAGCGGCTCTTCGAAACCATGAGTCAGCAAGAATTTCAGGAGTTGCAAGAGGCTATGCGCGCCGATCTGATCGGTGAGAACGATTTCGGGCAGATTCCCCAGGATGCCAGCGAGATACCGGAGCTGCCGCAAGTGTCTCGGCTCGGCCCATATGCCAGGGCCTCGGAAACTCGGAGCAAGACGCAAGTGCAAACGCATCCTGTGTGACATTATACCGAGCTTCACTGTCCTACACTGACACATCTCACGTGCCACAGTCGTGTGTCTCGATGGCTGCACCGCTACAATCGAAGGAAAGCGCCTCGTAGATCGTAGAGTGATCCCTCGCTGTGGCCATGGCAGACTCAGAGGCACCTCGCCCGAACGAGGACTGCTTCTATTGCAATAGGTCGGCTATACGCAAAAGTTCCATTCAGAATCTGGCTTAGCTGGGCTTACATGTACGGTTGCGACGCGGGCATCATATGACCATGTATTATGACTGACAGGCTTAGAAGTTGTGTGGTGTGTAGCCGCGCATACTTACAGCCAATGTTGGGCTGGCTACCTGCAGTTCTGAATCTGGTTTTTTTTATGTTATGCACCTACATATACATGTGTGTGTGTGATTGTAGCCTGAGAATGTGCAGACACATACACAACACATCCATTCGACTTTTGCACACGTCCAGGAAATCATGACATATGCAGGAAGACAACAAGCATACACATCAACAGCCAAACTTGTTCAAGTTTTCAAGTATGCATGTCCGCTTACACTGACTACTATTATACATACATGCATAAACACATGCGACATAGACCTGGTGACCGGTGATCTGATGCTATTATAGACGTGTATACATGTTTGTTATGAACTTTTTTCTGTATGGCGATTACAGTTTTGTCCTCTATTCATCGAATGAATCTGCACTGTAATAATCTGAAGGAGGGTGTGGCGACGACACCGCAGAAGGCCCGCAAGCCGCATGCTGTCCCCGAGGAGGACACAGGCGATGTCTTCCATACACCGCCCAAAAACACGGGCAACGCACGGCTTGATTTTGAGAAGACAGTCATCGCAAAAGACGACCAGACAAACGGTGGCCAGCAGGTGACGACTCCTCCCACCCGACGCGGGCCGACGACATCTGAGATCACACCACCCACGCGCCAGGGACCGCCTTCAACTCCGCAGCGCCCGACAAAGAAGAAGAGATGCACTTATCATGAGCTGGACTCGCCTTCGCCAGCTACAAAACAGAGTCAGTGATGAGACAAGTCAGTTATCTCAAGGGCATTGGAGCTTGCAGTGCTTTGGGACCTGGTGTCGGCATGCAACCAGCATAGTGCTGTGGCATGCTGAAAGCTTGCAGGAGCGCGTGACCAGTGATGCTACGTTGGTGTCCCCAAAAAAACGCTTCACGGAGCAGGGAAGGGAGGCCAGGGGGAGGTGGAGAGGTGAAAGGTTTAGATGGGAGATGGGTTACTTTTTTCTATTATACATACATATGTATTGTATGTGTTCAGGAAGAATTTCTGCAAGACTTGTGCACCGCAGCATATTCGTCTGCGTACTGTACCTGAGATAGTTCTTCCAGTGAGCAAGTATGAACGGGAAGCGAGAGAGAGAGAGAGAGAGAGAGAGAGAGAGAGAGAGAGGGAGGGAGGGAGAGACAGCGAGCGACGACAGGTTGTCTTTCTGATCTCTTCGTCTGTCTAGTGTCACTAGTGTCTCTAGTCTAGTCGTAGGTCTAGGCAAACTGTCAAGTACCGTGTCAACACTAAGCAGTGCAATCAAAGACGCAATAGCAGGAAGGCAAAAGACAATGATGCGAGAGAGAGAGAGAGAGGGAGAGTGATACTAAATAAAAAGTCATGGCTGCAGCAAGGCTTAGGGCTTAGGGTCCAGTAACAAAGTTGTACCAGCAGTGATCACACCAGGATGATCAATTATCAGTAGCAACGGCACGGTAAGTCTGTATGTGCAAGATCAGCTTGTGGAGATCAGCGTTTGCGTCTGGTATTGCTGCTCCGAACTCTAAACTAACCCGAAGCCCTAAATGGTTTGCGGTTTCTAACTCTAGACCCCAAGCCCTAAATAAATGCTAAAACCTAAGGGGTTCAAGCGGCCCACGCACGGATGAGCGATCAGCGTGGTGTTGCATATCCCAGAGAGTGCACTCCTGTTTTAGGTTTGCCCGGTTCAAAGCATTCCGGAGCTGCTCTGGTTTTGACCGAGGCCCTGAAGCTGAGGGTGGTTTTGGTGTCCAGCCGAAACCCTCAACTCTACACCCTGAACCCTGAACCCTCAACCGTGAACCCTCCCATTCATACACCCCGAAACCAAAAATCTGAAAAGCCGAGAATAGAAGAAGCCTCACAAACCGGTTAAAGGTTGATTCAGGGTTTGAGGTTGAGGTTTTGGGACCCTCACAGTCATCCCAAATCCAAGCTTTGCACCTGGGGCTTAAGGCTAGGCTTCGGTTAGAATTTAGGGGTTACGAAGCTTGGTTCGAGGCTTACCCTGAGACGGCTTCAAGATGGTCTAATATGAAGCTTCGGGTCTCGCTAAGAGCTTTATTTGTGCCCCAAGCTCTAACTAATCCGTAAAAACAAAGACTGAACCCTAAACCCCGAACCCTAAACGCTACAGGGGTAGCTTGAGGCTCAGATACGGGAAGAGTCTTGCGAGCTGCCTCGTCAGGTCTAAGACACAAGGCTTACTGCAGGCTTGGGAATTAGGGCCTGTGATGCCGCAGGTATAGGGTTTGGGTGTAGGGTTTTGAGAATGGGTTTACGGTTTTGTTAGGGCTGGATTTCGGGCGTTAGTTAGGCTGCAGTGTAAGCAGTGTCAGTGTTCTTTGTTTGTTTGTTTGTCTGTTTGTTTGTTTGCCTTTGCGACACTAAAACCAAGCAAAAGCCTGCTCTCCAAAAAGAACTAGTACAACTAAACTTCCCGGATTCCCATAGAACCCAGGACCCAGTTAAAGCCCGAAGCAAAAAACACGGAGCAGCAAAAAAAAACAGTAGCCAGCCAGTCCCGAAAGTCGGGTCTCCTCAGCACCCGCAGAATCCGCAAAGGGTTCCTCTGTAGCCTTTGGACAAGGTGTATGCAATCCCGGATGCACAGATCATCCTAAATCTGTGTTTTCAACTTTCTGGCATTCAGAATTCACTATAGGGGTTCTATGAGTTCTATGAAGGTGTAGAGTTCGCAGAGAGCCCAATACCCCTTAATTAAGGACTATGCCTCAATTTATAAAGGGCCCCTCACATTATGATCTCGGCTATATTCGTTAATGAAGGGGTGTTGAGCTCTCTGCGCCTGGGGTCTAGGGTTCAGGGGTCGAGCCGAAGGGTGCTAAGCTATATGTAAGTTCTAGAAAAAAATAAAATAAGTAGGCGTCTGGGCGGTCCCCCCTATAAAGTGCCTCGTTCGTTGTTTTTTGTGGGGATCTTGTACACTAGGCGCCTCATGCAAGTTTCCGTGTAAGTGCAACTATGCCATGAACCACTGGCTTGAATTGCAAGACTAACACTTATCTGAGACAGGGTCACCGCCGAGGTTGAATCCAGTAAGCCGAATCGCCGAAACCAAATAAATAGCAGACAGCAAATTCATTGATTGTATATTTGGTACAAAGCAACATCCAAACCGCCGAGGCGAAGAACAAAACGTGGTTCGCCTCTCTCGCTGGCATTTATGGTGTTGCGCTGCACTGGTCCTTGAACAAGACACTGGTGGAGTATGTCATGCAGGCTCATCTGGATTCCGATGAGGACGCTTGATTGAAGCACAGGTCAGTTGTTCGCTTGATCTAGAACTTTCATGCTTCCGTGGCCGAAAGGCATAAAAGTGAACTCAGAACGCTAAGCCAGCAAACCCGGGGAGCGAAACGCCAGTAGTACATTGGGATTCAAAAATCAACTGGCCTATCGTACGCCTTACTGTACACCCTTGGATCTTTTTAATGCTAAGGATTCGAAAGCCTTGACCCACCTACCCAAATTAACGCGAGTTAGTTCCAAGATTCTGGACCTTTACATCTAGTCTAGTCTAAGCCTCGGACAACTGAAGTAGTGAAACCCTGAACCCTAGACCAGAGAGTGATAGAGGGTGTGTGGCAGGGACAGAGGGAGGGACCAGGAGCAAGAATACAGAACACGGAGCAAGACACGGCGAGAGAGCGAGACAGAGAGAGAAAGAGAGAGCCCGAGAGAGAGAGAGAGAGAGAGAGAGAGAGAGAGCGAGCGAGAGAGAGAGGGACAGAGACAGAGACAGCGAGAGCGACGAGAGTGCGAGAGCACGAGAAAAAGAGCGACGTGCCTTGCCAGGAAGAAGCTGCCGACATGGAGTTGCCGGCACGTCCACGAACGAAGGACGAGGTGACAGACCTCAGAGCGCAGTATGACTCGAATCAGGCTTTGGCACGTGATCTTTATAGGGATCCAACTTTGCAGACCGAACTGCGGATTCTTTACCTTGGAGGGCGACCCCTCATGCATGCCTATCAGAAGACTTTGGACAGGCACAAGCACGGCCAGGAGTTGTGTGGTCACGTCTGCACGCATGACGGTCTAGCGTGCTTGGCTGCGGCTTGTAGAGAACACTACCAGGTCTTCAGCTGCTAGGACATTCATTCATCACGTTCCAACAATGAACCCTTTAGGAAGAAACTTTGCAGTGGCGTGCGGCACGCTCCCGATTTGAATGGTTCGGCACCATCAAGGAGCTGTTGGGGGGCCTTCACTCAGAAGAGCTACTGCAAAAGTTACACTTCACGCTGCAACCCCTAGGCACGCAGCCAGAAGCAGCCAAGATGGGTGCATGGGCAGCTGAACAGATGGACACTCTCGCAACCTTCACGTCTTACTCCCTGGAACTGGCAGCTTGCCATGCTTGGGCCAATGCCATCTACTGCGTTTGCCTTCCACATGCTTTCGCTTGTGTCCAGCATAGGTCGCAGCACGAGCGAGCTGCCGGCCTGACAAGAATTCGTGAGGTTTGGGGCGCAGTACTCCGTGCGGAACACTGGTTGCAAGACCCATCATTGCCGGCACATGTCAAGCTGGGGCTCAAGGACCTCTTGCAGGACGTGGCATGGAACCAGTGGCAATTAGCCCGTGAGGTCTATGCAGCATGCACCACAGAGAATTGGGATTCTGGCTCTGAGGAGCTGCAAGACTTTTCTTTCCTGGTGTTCTCAGGGCCGGGAAATACCAAATTTTTTTTAGAAGACTGTTTCGGACACGTTGCAGACGTGTGCAATCGGCTGGGGAAACACACTAAGTTGACAAAGATGCCTGCCTGCATTGGTACGAGCCAATCCTAAACCCTAAATTTAAACCCTAAACCCTAAAACGGTTTAGGATTTAGAGTTTAGGGTTTGGGGCTTGCAGCCTAATCCCGAAATCCGAAACCGTATCTACTCCGGAAGGGGTCGTGATTGGAACTGAGGTGGTCCAAATTTTTCTACATGACCTGTGTGCCATCGCAAGACGATCTAGAGTGGCCCAGGCTGGAACCCACTTATGAGGACTTCCTCGCGGCCGTGAATCGTCGCGCTGCTCTATGCAAGCCAGACAATCTCCTGGAACAGAACCAGCGCGTGTTTGCAATGAGCGAAAAGTTCAAGCTCCCTGCAGCCCTGAACTTCACTCTGAACAACTTGAAAAAGCCCGGAGGCAAGCCCGCCGGAACCTTCAGCAATCAAGTGATGACGGCGGCCACTGCGTTCATCGCGAACATGTCGAGTCCATTGGATGGCAGCATGGGCAAGGCTTGGACAGGCGGGGGAGTTGCTGCACTTTATAATGTCCACCAAAGTTCCTATGTTGCCTGATTCACTCACCCCACCGTAGCTGGCACAGCCCCAACTTTGCCAACCCTAAAAAGCGGGGTTCAACTTTAAAGCTTAAAACTCCCTACAGCCACACCCTGAGGCTTCAAATGACACCGTCGTGGACCTTAGGCCTTAAACTTTAAAGGCCTGCTTGAATTCGGATTTGACAAACAAACTTAAACCCCTCCCTAAGCCCTAGTTACTTAGTTTAACCCTAAAACCCCAAAACCCCAAGCCAAAAACCCAAAACCCTAACTAAACCCTTAAAGCCCTGAGCCCTAAACCTCTAAATCCTAAAACCTTAAAATACTATACCTAAATCCGAAGCTAAAAGCATAAACTGTGCAGTTGTTCTCAAGACCATCATACTGTAGTCATATGATCTAGGATGCGTATAGGGTTTTGTTTCGGCGAGCGCATGATGTATAGCTTGGGCCAATTGGGTTGTAGCGTGGAGACTCAGAGACTAGTAATGCAGGTTTTCCATCATCGCCTCACATGGGCATGGCTTTCACCCCAGGGCTTGCTTTGCGATGCACGTGTGTTCGGTTTTCCTAAACTTGCGAAAGCCTTGAAAGCTACCGAGTCTTGGCCAGGAGTGTTCCTGCAGAAAGGCTATGTGTTTGAGCGGGTGGCTGACTCCACCTTCCTGATGTCACTTGGATTTCGGAAGTGGGCGTGTTTGGGCGTGCCCATGAAGAGGGTGACAGCGCAAGACCAGGAGTGTAGCTCACCCTTGCCACTTAACCATAGGCTGTCGACGTTGGAGCTGTTGTGCGAACCAGCCCTTTTCAGGAGTTCCTCGTCCTTGACAAGGACGCCACGGAGCCCGTGTGGATGTTCGGCGATGGGTACCAGGGCGACACGAAGTACATGTGCATCCCAACGAAACTGCTGCTACCATGCTTCACTCCAAGAGGCCTGAGCCATCATGGTGCGCTTTGGCAGATCACAGGTGAGCGACAGCCACTCTTGCTGTCTGCTGTTCGGCACGGCTGTCGACTTGATATGCCGCAACTCAGAGAGCTGCACCAGCAGCTGCAGTTTTCACTGCCGCCAAGAGGAGAGGGATCCGGGGCACGTGGGGCCACAACGAAAATAGATTATGTCACAGCTTTGGTGGAGCATCTGACGAAAGACGATGAATCTGTGTCCGCGGAGCAAAAAGATCGGCTGATTCAAGGTGTCATGGGTGGTGACAGTGCAAGAAAGAAGCAACGAGTGAGGTGTCCAGAAGCTGTGATAGCGGCAGTGAAGGAGGGAGGACAGCAAGCCGAGTCGGATTTCAGCGTGGTGCATGAGGTTGCGCTAAATCAGCAGGCCATTGAGAATGAGATGAAGAAGCAAAGGGCGGCTGCGGCCACCGAAGACCCTTACGTGCAGCGCACGTACACACCCAAGGAATTGAAGCGGTTTCTTCCTACCGGTGCATGGTGCAATCGACAGCCAGTGCTTAAGCGGTACCAAGCAGGATTTGAAGGCCACCTGCAGCCAGCATGAGAGAGATTTTGAGAGAAAAGAAAGCAACTTAGTGTTTGGGTGTAGCTGTAACTACTAGTAGCTGCTGGGTGTGGGAGCTGGTGATGTGATTTCATGAGCTTATCATGTTTGGCAGGACCGAACGCTTCGCGGGATCCTTTGGGAGGTCCTGATACCAAATTCGTCACCTGGGACGGTCCAGTCCGCAAACTCACGGAGTATCAGGCCCTACACGAGGTTCTTGCATGGGTATGGGCAAGATACATCCGAACAACTCCTGGGGCGACAGATGCTGCCAGGCAGGGAGCCAGCACAGACCCAGAACATCAACAGTCGTCAACTGTCATGTCTCCTTTCCCTTGCGTGCAGGCCCACCGAGCGGATGATCAAGATAGCCGTGGATAAGTTCACATCATCTACAGGATTGCTGGATCCCACAGCGGGTCAAATTGCAGTATCCGAATCATCTGCCCCATCTGCCCCTGCACGGGGAACCCGAGGCAGGGGGAGAGGTGCACAGCCCAAAGCGTCTGGGAAGTCTGCATCATCCGCACCGAAAGCTCAGGCTAAGCCTAAGCGTGCACGAGGCAAGGCAGCCGCGTGAGCAAAACATCCGACCCGACACGGCTGCTTCAGGCTAATAGCGCCTATTAGGGACTAATAGGGCCTAATAGGGACTAATAGCGACTAATAGGGCCTAATAGTTTGGGGTGGCCCTTGTTGGGGAGGCTCCCAAAGCCTGTTGGATTCGAGTTTTGACCCATGTCACCTCGAGTGCTTGAGGTTTAAAGTGCTTTTGACATAACTTGAATGAAGAGAAGGGTGACATCGGGAATGTTGCTGCACAGTTTCCTGCAGGCCTCGGTGATTGTTTACCAATCGAGGGAGGCACCCTGAAGGCTATTGCAGCCTCAAGATTTGCAAGCCTCACGGATCGCGCAGCTGCCGTTATTGCCCAAACCCAAAGCAGGTACAAGAATGGCCCGAAACCTCTGACTATGATTCTACATACTTTTTGAGGTCCAGGAATGCATCAAGCCGGGCTAGGCTGCACTCTCCGAAAGCCAGTTGACCTGACTTTCGATTGCAAGGGGCTGCAGTAGTGCCGAATTGGAAGAGGTGCATTCAGTTCAGCAGTGGATGCACCTCAACGCACCTCGGCTCTACTACAATCCGTTGGTAGAATCTCCATTCATGTCGGAGCGCGAGGGAAATGGGAGCTTCTACGACAAACCCCACAACTTCCTGCTACCCAAAAGCCAGCCCCAGAAGCACCATCACTTCAAAGCCTCATCCTAGCATCTGCGCTTAGCTTCCTACTTACTCCTCAGAGACACCAACCCGGGAACCCCGAACTCCCTGCCCTGGTTCCTCGAAACCCCGCAAAGCAGTGCAGGCCAGCGTGGAACGCTCGCTTGCCGTGCCTCGACGCAGCAGTGCCTGGATTCGAAAGATCTGCTTCGTTTTGATTTGTGTTCTGGAGCCAAGGTCTTGTCGGTTTTTGCTTGGTAATATAGGGGCCTTAATAATGAGAATAGGGTTTTGGGGCCCATTATACTACAATTACAATAAGGAACCCCCAAAACCCTATTCTAATTATTAAGGCCCCTATAGTATTGGCATTGTATCACTTCCGGTATCATCCTCGGCGGTCGGGCCAATGCTTCGTTGTTTCGGTCCTGTTGCTGTTGCATCTACGACTCCAGGTCATGCCGTGTGTGGTTGCTGTTGTTGGTGTGAGCGTGGCTTTAACCACGACCCTTGCTAATCATCATTTCCGTTTGTTCTGTCCGTGTGGAACAAATACACCCTACAGCGTGCGATATTTTCCAAGGATCCAGAGCGTGTGCTACGACTTCAACCGGAATCAGACGTTCTCGCACACTGCCTTTGAACCTGAAGAGACTAGCCCCAACAGACACGAACGCCTGCACCATTTCAATGCCAGCGAAGGAGGGACAGGATGTTTGAACAAGACACCCTGAACCGTTTTGAGGATCAACTGAATCAACTCTCTAGACCCCAAGCCCGAAACCATAAACTTTGCCGGCCCTAAGCCCTAAACCGGAAACACGAACCCCTAGACTCTAAACCCACAAGCCCTAATCCGGAAACCCGAACCCCTAGACTCTAAACCCATAAGCCCTAAACCGGAAACCCTAACACTTCAACTCGAAACCCATAAACCCTACACCGGAAACCCTGACCCTTAAACTCTAAACTCATAAGGTCCATAAGCCTTATAAGCCCTAATGCCTACCCCCCCTGGTGCCAGGAGACAGGCGTAGTCCTCACAACCTGGAAGGAACGATCGCCGACGTAACCACCATGCTCAAGCAGCTGGCCTTGACAAGGGAAAAGGTTTGGATTGCTATGATGCTACTCGATACTGTACTGAACCATACTTTTCTATACGATACTATACTATATCATATACTTATGTATACTTCACATTATATACTACAGATAATGCTGTTTGTCAGTTTGCTTTATGCTTTATGTTGCTTTATATCATCTCATAACATGTTATGTTATGTTATGTTATGTTATGTTATGTTATGTTATGTTATGTTATGTTATGTTATGTTATGTTATGTCATGTTATGTTAT